TACGGATTGTAAATAGATAGTTGTCATTTCTTTTTCGAAACGAAGATAAGCAATTTGATGCATTAATAAAGCCAATTTTTGCATATCATTTATACTAATAGATTGAACATTTTTTAGTATATTTTTTATTTTACGAACAAATGTTTTATTATCCAGTGATAAATAATTTGGTATTTCATTTTGTTTTGTAGAATTATCATTAATATCAAAATCTTCATCACTATCATAATTAGCCATTTTCATTTTCTTTGAATTTGGATTTGGACTAGCTAGAAAATTTGAACGTCGTTTTTTATCACTAGGATTTAATGAATTGATTTCATTTTGATCTGCTGTTGATAATTGACTTAATTTTTGTGATAAAATAGACTCAACATCTTGTTGTTCTCCTTCTTCGTTCAACTAAATGATAGACAAAAAAAAAGAGCTATAGCTTTTAATGCAAAAACAAACAAACATGTAATACTTCAACATAATCGGAATCTTTGAAAATATCATATTGAATAATTTCTTCTTCATATATCATTGATTTTAATTGACCCGATAAGAAATATTGATTTAATATATCTTTTGAAAATTGAAGCCCATCATTTGTTTCATCAATAATATCAAATGTATCATGGAATGGCTTGATATTATTTGATAATTTGTTGACAGTTGTGTTTGATTCTTGGTTTGTATTAGCCATGTGATAGATGAAAACCAACAAAAAAATTAATTTACTATATCTGAAATAGATGAACGTTATGAAGTCGGATATTTGATACAACTGTGTACAAATGCTTCGATTTATATACTTTCAAAAAACAAAATCTATACTGAAAAATTCGTTTTTTTTGACAATATCCTACAAAAACAAATAGTACAAAAGCTTCGAGTCTATTACTATGCCATCAGCAATGAAATGTTCATTTTTCAGTTAGATCCAGGAAATATTTGAGTGGTAATGGTCGTGTTGTATGTTGCATATATTCTTTAATGAGTTGTCGTAATTGAGCAATAAATTGATCATCCAAAGATCTATCTTGTTTTTCATTTTTTACTACTGATTCTATAGACCAATTGAGTGTTGCTTGCAATCTTTGGTGTTGATTACTCTACAATAGATAATAACACGAAATAGTTTTTTTATCAATTTGTATAGAATAACTACTTGTTTTTAAAATACTGACTGATTTATTATTCAAAATTTGAGACCATTTGGAGTTATTAAATATAACAAGACAAAATCGCTGAGACTTAATATCAGATATATCTGTCTTCTTTCCCTTTGTAGAAGATATTTCTTGTTCAGTAACATTAGATATTTCCATAGGTTCAGTTTTACATATATCATTAAAATCGTTCGTATCAATTTGCATTGAATGTTCACTTAATAAATTCGTAAGAATTAATTTGAAATCTTTCGAGTCAAATTCCATAATTGATCGTTTAATCGTCAATAAGTGAATGTAATCTAGAAAAAATAAATAAATAAATCTACAATACAAAACGAAATGAAGAATCTATGAAGAAAATATATATAAAAAAGTTTCATATTCAATTTGAATTGCATAAAATCAGTTGACACATGATCATATGCTTCGAAACCAACAAAACACACAAACAAAAGAATGATACAAGAGAAAAAAGTTTGTAGAACTCAAGTATGAGTGGAATGATTATCGCTATTGTTCGATATTTGAAAAATTGAATACCAAACTAATTGGATATGATCTTCCAGTTCGTTGAAGATATGCTTTTATACATTCTTCTAATTCGAATCGTAATGTATTATATAATATTGTTTCATGTTCTTCCGTATGAGGTATACCAAAATGAATTGGAACATTTGGTGATAGCATACCACCTCGCAAGTGTTGTTGCCATTGCTACAATAGAACGAAAGGAATACTAGATAACGAATTTTTTTCTTTCGATTACTTGATTCGGTAACTGTTGAAAGTGTTGTGTATGTTGTAGTAAATTTGGATAATTTGTTATTGTAATAACAAAATATTGATCTCGTCTTGCTGTAGTTGATTGAACATAAAGTTGTGAGCCGTTTGGAAAAGCAGAAGCCATTATAAATCAATGATAATCTACAACAAATAAATTCGAATAGATAGAGTACTAGGAGAACGTTTTTAATTTGTTTTTTTTGTATAAATTCTAGATAACATCTGAAAAATTTTCATAATTCATTTCAATGTGTTTTAACAATATAAACAAAAAAAGAAAAAGACATATGAAAAAGAAAAAAAAAATACAATATACAAAAACGATCGTTTTTACCACGAACTCTGCTGAACTTATTTTTAACCAAAGAATCATAACATATGTATATTTCTACAAATAAATACAATGAAACAGCAATAAAAGTTATTCATAAATGAAAAAAGAAAACAATACCAATGATTTTATTATAAACATCATAATTGTTCTGTATCTATGTCGGACATATCAAAAATATAATGAATTGGATATGATCGGCGAGTTCGTGTAAGATAATGACTTGTTGCTTCTCTTAGTTCGACTCGTAAAAGATTATTAAGTATTTGTTCTCGATTATTGTGGTGATTATTATTGTTGTTGACTGCTCCTCCATTATTTGTTGTACTAGTTTGTGTGGAACGTGTTGTTGTTTGCATATTTTGTTGTATCTAAAAATAATCAAAGTAAAACATAATCATGTTAGTTTTAAAAATGAGTTTATCATTAAGATAGTACTACATGTGGTTGAAATGGTCCAGTTGGTTGTAATAGTTCAGGATCATTTGTAAGAATAATTATAAATTGTCGTTGTGGAGCACTTGATGATCGACTTGAATGTAATGGTGCAACTATTTGTACACGTCTTGTTCGACGTGTACTCGATGTTCGATGATGATGATGTGAGGAAGACATCTATAAATTAATACAATTATCTAAAATATAAATAAATCAAAGTTTAGAGAATAACAAATATTCATTAGAATATGAAACAAAGATCTACAAATATTGTTCGTTTTATGAAAAGATTGTTTTTTATTGTTTATTCAAACAATATTCATAGAAATAAAGTAAAATTAAATGTAAACAGTATAAACACCATAATCTTCTTGATGTCTATTTCTTTAATTTGACTTGAAATTCATACTATTATCATTCCTTGTATATTGAACCGTATTCATCGGATTTAAATAGATGAAAATGGGATCTTTAATTGGTCGTCGTTCTTGTATTTTAGCAAGTCGTGTCGAAGACCATACAGGAGCTGGTGGATGTAATAATGTTGATAAGGAATAATCGAACAACAGTCCATGTTCCTTAAAACATAACTAGGATAGATATGTATTAATATAAATGACAATGATTCATACCGATAGTTGTTTCATTTTAGGATTATTTTGATCGATCGTATTGTATAATGATAAATTATTTGCCATAACAGAAAGCTAAATCTACAATATTAACAAAAAATAGTCATGAGAAAAAGAATTCACGATGTTTCTTGTATTGTTGGACAAAACAGAAAGAAAAAGAAAACAAAACATGAATTAATATACATGTATTTCACACTTATAATTTCAAGTCTATTCGATTGTTTCGCTTTTTTTTAAACGATAATCATAAATTTATTGTTAATCATTTAGTTGCCACAATATCTGTCGATAGTATAGTTTTTGGTTGAGGTCGACGTAATAATCCGTGACACCATTCATTGCCACGAATCAACCAAGGATCATTCATAGGATAATGATCACCATTTTGATTCGTATTCAAAACATTACCAATTGAATTGAGATTTGTTTCAGCATAAGTAATGAATAAAGATTCAATAGTAAAACGAAACATATCTGAACAAGTTTCTGGTACTGTATAGAAAGGAAATACAAAATATGTTTCAATCATAAATATCTATTTTTGAATAATATTAATTAACTTACAAACAGCTACAATTGTTGCATTATATAAGTCGATATCTTGATTTGGCAAGGCTCTATCACGTGTTTTATGAAAATATTGTGTTTGTAACAGGATTTGTCGATTGGAAAAAGTTAATCGTTTCGGTGGTTTTGGAACAGCTTCAACATAGATTTTAGTATCTTCTTTTGATCGTATATTCCAATTAAACTCTTCAGTAAAAGTATATGATGTAATTATTTGTTGTTCAGGTCTTTCTGATTCTTCTAATGTCATTGGTACAAATCGCCAATATTGTGGATTTGCATCCAAAAAAATTTGCATAGCTACTGGACATCGTACCGAATGTTGATAAAGTTTCATACGATCTTTTGCTAAAACTCTAAAAGTTAACAGAAAACATGCATAATAAGAAATGAAATTTTAAAAAGAAAATACTCATTTGATTTATCTCGTAGTAAATTACGTTTAATATTTTCTTGTCCTAATAAAAATTCATGTATAATTCGATTACCATGTTCACGATGTTCTATAGAAAATAGATTCAATATTGATAAGAAAAATTAAATATCTATACTTCTTAGACGATCATGTAAACTTTGTGTAGTTGCACCAATATAATCATATTTACCGCATGGACATGTTAATGCATAAATAATATTTCGTGTATGACATGACTAAATAAACATAAAAAAATTTTCTATGTTAATCATCTAAAAATAGATTATTTCAATAAAACATACAGCTGAACAATTTAAAATGGTTTGATATCCATTGAGAAATGTATGTTTATGAGCTTGACTAAATTCAATAATTGATTTTTTCGATCGATATTTCATATCATATTGAGGATAACATAATCCACAATTACCACATGCAGCTAATTCATAACGAGCTTCTGGTTCTCGTATACAAAAAAGACCTTCATTTAATGTACGTGGTCGAGCATAACGAAATGAACATGTTTTCATATAGAACATGTTGACTACATAAATATAAACAATCAATAAATGTATTAAAATAGAACAAGAATATTATCAACAAAATAAAAAGCATATACCATCAAATTGTAAAAAGAATTCCAATGCAAGTGGATATTCTTTTTCATCGATTCGTTGAATTTCATGTAGTCGAAGATGTAATACACGTATTTGTTCATAAACTAACATTTTCAAATATTGATTTAAACGTGTATAATTATAATCCAAAATAGTCATATCCACTTTTAAACGTTCAAGTAAATCACCAAAGAACATTTGATATTTTTCACGTAAAAATGATGGTATAGTCGAATCATAATTGATAATATTGAATGCTGGTTTAAAAGTATCAGCACGTCGACGAACTAATTCTTGTGGAGTCAATTGATGAGCTACATAAAATCAAAAATAGAAATAAAATTTCGTACGATACTTTCTTATCTTCTATCTCTTCTACATACGTGGTATATTCGCTAGTAATGGATAACCTTGATTTTGTGTGTTATTCGTTGGAAACCAGGGTAATATAGATAATAGACGTTGAATATTGGGAAATCGTTCGATCATTATGTTTGATATTGATGTATTTTGTAAGACTACCGGTACAATCGAAATGTCATTGATATCTATATTAGGTGTACATAAATCAATGACTTCTACCGTTTCATTGATATTAACATCAATTGTTTGTGTTTCCTATATATATATGTAGAATGCGAATGATCATTTAGAATCACTTTATTTTCAAAAGAATATTTACCAAATTTAATGTTCTTGGTCGATTCAATTTCACTAATGTTTGATATTCTTCATTTTTCTTGTCTTTATTATTCATCACGAAAAGCAAAAATAAACTTGTTAATAGATAAGTCTTGTAATAATAATAATAATAATAATCTAGAAAATACAACGAATTCCTATAGTTATTCTATTTCAATCAATTATTCTTAACAATACTATTTTGATATTTTATAATATTGCTTAAAAAAACAAATTATTCATATGAAATTATTTTACCCAAGTCCATCTTAACCGTTATACAATAATATAACGATGGTATCTGATCTGATAAGAAAATTATGTATTGAACTTTGTCAGACAACAAAAATAAACTATACTTCATTGATCTATATCAATATTTCTTTAGATATATACATTTTGAATTATAGACAAACAGACACACATATTCATACAACACAAAAATAAAAACAGAAAAACTATATAGAAATCTATATACAAGTTAGATCAACATTCCCAATCATAAGACTCATAAGGATCACATAGAAATGGAGATGTTGCTGTTGAAATTGTTGGTAGTTCACGAGAACTAGAAAGTTCATTATTGTCATCATTATAATATTCTTTCTCATTATTATCATCATTATCCTCATCATTATCCACATCATTATTGATGTTAAATTGATTGAATGATATTGATGATGATAAGGATTCAGATATATTATTGTCATCATTATCATTATCATCTTTTGATGAATGGCTATCATCACTATTACTAGAAATAATGAAAGAAAATATATATAAGAATAATTTTTAATAAATTCTATAAGCACTTACTTTTTCTCATCTGAACGAATAGATATTTCTTCTAGATGTAAGTTGCCATATGGCGACTCAATATCATCATCATCATCTTGAAGAATGTGATCTAAACACGTTTT